CCGTATTCCGGCCGTAAATTTGGAATGCTTTAATTGTCCCAAAGCTGAAAAACTATTTGATCAATTGATCTGGTTAGAAACCTATGGGAACCACCTGGAAAGCAACGCTTATCAACACTGCGCAAAAGTGGAAGTAGAGGCTTTTGCGATGTGGTTGCAACAGTAAAGACAAACCCAAAACACCGGTTCTTTTAAGAACCACTAATTTTACAAAAAAGAATAAAAACGAAACTCGATTATTAACATATTTACACTGAATCTCAAAGTTTACTTCTCAAATATTCCACATATGCTTTATAATGATCTTCTTCATGACTTCTAAATTGCTCGCCTGTCGCTTTCACAGTATACTTAAAACTAGGGGGCATTGAGAAAAAGACCATAGCCCCAGGTTCAAGTGGGTCATCACAACAATCCTCTTTGCAGTTAGAAAGTTGGTCTAGAATACTCAGCATCCCACTGTTCTCCACACTCATCATTGATTTAACATACATGGGGTCTCTCCTCAATTGGTTCCAATATTCAAACACGTTTTCATCCCACTGAAGCTCTAAAACTTTGGTCACCTCAACAAACTTATTCCATACCACGTCTTTTTTGCTAACTCGCTCTATGGCTTCCAAATCATACATCTGCGATCTCTCCTCATACGATAACATAAGACACTCATTCTGACTAAAGCGATTTAGTTTACAACCACAGCACCTCTCTTCGAAAAGCTCATAAACCTCGCAAGAAACAGTTTGTGCAAATATTGTCTCTAACAAATTGCATAGCTTCCGAAATTCCATAGGCGAAACTTCGTCAACATTATTCGGCCTTGAAGAACGCATACTTGGTCAGGACATGTGCAATACAATTACATAATGCTTACTAAACTGGACGCACGCTAAGTACGAACGCTTGGACGAACGCTAAGTACGTACACTAAGTACGAACGCCCGGACGTACACCCCCTGTTGACGTCATTCGCTTGAATCACTTCCGTCGCTGGATGTGGGGGGGGGGGGTAATCTACTAATACTGTTCTATCATAGTGGATCTGGTAACGGTGCGCACAACGTTGGGCATCATGATCTGCGCGCGCTCTCCCGACTGCAGCTTCAACATTCTAGTGCCATACGACACGTCTTGATAGAAGTATGGTTGATCAGCAAATGTCAAAAAATGATTAAGCTTGGATAGATCTATTCGCGTCCTGTGGTGTACGATTTTCGGTAAGGTCAGTCCAGCGCCAACGGTTTTAGCATGTGCCTTTGCCTTTTTTATCTGCCGATCACTTAGCTGCTCGAATTCACCGTGCATTGATTTCAGCTCTTTCGCTGTATACCTTGGCGCATATATACTGAGGATCTGTGTCTTAAGGCTCTTCGTTGGTGCGTTTTGGTAAGCAGCGACTAGTGCGTTTTCGGCCTGGGTACGAGGAAGGTTTTCTGCCTTTCCTGGTACTGATGACTTTCGGTATGTCGCCAAGAGCTCATAAGAAGCTTTTGGGGCAATCACTCGACACACTGCCCTACAAGCCTCGTCAACATACTTTTCCCATCTCGCCTTCTCGTTCTCTGAAGCACTTGCCCAATCAGACTGAAGTCTGGATTCGAGAGAAACCAGTCTTGCATCTGACAGGGACGCGATCTTTGCCATTGAATCATTATAGGCGTTCAGCACCGCATCAGGGCGTGAGTCAGCTTCGTCGGAACTCTCCGAGTTCTTCACAGTGCGTCATTACCTGGCGTCCAAGCGGGATCTTCACTTGTACTCGTCATGATCACCGCCAATGGAGTTGCCGGAACTGCATACGACGTTATTGCGCCAATGGTCACCTCTTTGCACTTCCTGATATTAAGAAAAGAGCAGTAAATGATATTTTAGCAAATGCGCTTGTGCTATTGTATGAACCACAAAAATCCCATAATGCTTAGCTAATTAATAATAAAATGAAAAGTTAATAATAATAAAATGAATAGCTAATAATAATGAAATGAGAATAATAATTATAATAATTACAATAATTACAATAATTATAATGATTATAATGATCACGATTATAATGATTATAATAATTAACAATTATTGAATGAGGTTTTTGTGATATGCGGAATTATCAAGGTCAAGGTAAGCGTTATCGCTGATAACGCTTACCGAGACCTTGATAATTTTGCATATCGCAAAAACCGAATTCAACAATTGTTTTATTATATTGTATATTTGCTTGTGTGAAATAGATATCGTTTGATAATCATCACAGGCTCATTTGCAGATAACTCAGTTATCTGCTAGCAGTTAGGCTCATTAGTTAGGCTCATTTGCAGATAACTCAGTTATCAGCATATCTGTAGGTTGCGTCATTGCGCGATTTAACTGTAAGCTCTTAGCCAATCAAATTGCTTTTACCAACTACAATGTATAATAATTATAATTATTATAAATTTTAGCAGCATATTTTACCTTCATTGCGGCTTTAAACCATCATCTTGGGTGTCGTCTTCTTCAAGGCACGATGACTGATATTCCTTTAGTTTTTCATTATGTCTTTTTCTACAGCTGTTGCATATAGCTAGAAACAATAGCAACAAAAAAATAATCGTTTAAAAGACTTTGTATAATGGTTTTTGTTTTAAATTTGGTAATGCTTGGAAAGGGCACAATTAAAGAGAATATACTGTGTAATGCGCTAAATTTGTCAAAAATTCGAAAATTCGTCATAGCCTTACCCATTCCGACGGGAATAATAACAGCAAACATTTGCTGGACTTCTCGTGCGATCTTTACGGACACTACTCTATCGTTCTTGACGCCTTTCTTCTTTCCTCTGTGTTCAGGGTATTGCCATGCCGAACTTCGACTCTGGTTTCCCCAGTATTCGCCAAGATTCGCTCGATGTCTCGGGCATACAAACATTGTTTGGAATTGTTGCTCCGTTGGGTAAAGGAATCCAGCTCGCATCATAATCAACTCCCCTTCGCTATTTATTCCTCCTTTTGAAAGATGACATCGCTGCAAATGGCATGGGCTGTTATATTATTTTTGCATTCACTAAGTAGTACCAGATCTTGATGGCCTTTAAATTCACCGCAGGCATCAGCATTACGAAAAGACATAAAACACTTCACTGTCGTAGACGATGTCATTTCAATATTTATTTGACAACAGGGCGTTGCGATACCTGTAGCTACTTATATAAATTACCTTTTAATGTATTCATTTTAATTTATTAGACATTAAACGGCCAAAATTATAATATAGTAGAAGCCCGGTGCTTTCTCGTTGTATAAGCAAACCGAAATGTCTATCTATTTAGGGTATAACTGTCTCAGCCTTCAGGGTGGACACAATTTGTGGCCAACTTCTCATGTTAAAACTTGCGTACCCAAAAAGAACAGAAAGGCTGACCGAAGCAAAGTCAGTTGTTTACAATTGCCACCAGGGGCGTAGGAAGCTTGGAAAAGTTGGGGGGGGGGCAGGCTTTGAGGGGCACTTTCAAAAAAAAAAAAAGGGCAGGCTTTGAGGGGCACTTTCAAAAAAAAAAAAGGGCATCTCAAAAAATTTTTGGCGACCAAGTCAGACAGGAAACTATCGTAAATAGAAATGTCAAAGATACTGTTCAAAACCTGCAGTAGCAAAGGATATAATAAGCAAACGAACTTTGATTGTGGAAATTATATTGCTATATATAAAGTACAGCTAGCTTGTCAGTGAAAGTTTTTGAAACAGACACTTTTCGAAACTCTGAGAAATCGAATGAAACACGGGTTACTAAATATATTCTCATTCCTTCGCTAAAACACTGGTCCAGGAGAAAAGTTTGAAAGAATTACACGTCAAAGATGTTCTATGGATAAAACTGTGCTTGGGAATGCCGTATAATTACTATAATGCGTGTTTGAATATTTCTCTGCGCCCGTGACTTGACAACAAGATATTGACTGTAAACAATGGCGTATTACTCGAGATGGAAGTTCAACTCGCGTCAAATTCAACACGAGGTAAGATCTCGACTATAGAATGTGATTTGTCCCCAATATCGGCGCCGAATTCGAGATTTTAGCCTCTAATTTTGGGTAATTTTTTATATATTCGGATCGCCTTAGCAAGTGGGCTTAGTTTATTTATATTTTTATGTTTGTCCACGATCTTGCAGTCATGGACTATTAAAATGTATCTTAATATTATGGTATAGAAATGTTTTGCTGACACTTGTTTGTTTTCCTGCAGCGCACCTCTAGATTTTCGCAAATTTCGGGTACGGAATCGGCCTCAAAACGGGTGTCAAGTCTAGAAAACGAAATTGGTCTTGTATCTGAACAGAAAAAAGATTGAGCTCAAAAGAATACCCATTTTGAAACTTACACATCAAGTCCTTTTAAATGAAAAATTAAGAAGGACTTTTAATTTCAGACGCGAAAACGATCGGACCGCTCTTAGGCAGACAGCCTCTTAAATGTGCAATTCATCAAAGATATGGTTATAGCCCACATGCCTGCAAGGTTTGCATTATCCAAAGCATTTCTTGTCTCTGGCGAGTTTATTCTTAATCCAATGAAGACCAACGTTGGAATGGAGAACACCACAACACCAGCGACTACCAGCAAACAACAAGATATATTTTTGAAAGAAAACGACTTTTTCATCTCGGGCGATATTCTTTTGTTTTTACGACTTTTCCTGACGACTAGAAACAGTTTGTAGTTGATAAATAACATTGCAGGAAAGAAAAGAATACAAATAATTAGACTATGTACTTCAAAGGGAATAACAAAGTCGTTTACAGACATCGCTGTCAAAGTTATTTCGACGATGATCAGTATTGAAAGAAGAGTTAAAAGTCTTCCCTTCGTTACCGATGTTCGATGAAGGATAGGATAAGATGTGGCCAAATATCGATCGAAGTTCATCACCAAAAGAGCGAAATATGAAAACCGAAGGAAAATACCTGTCGAACTTATGGAAATATGAGCCCATCTAGCATTTACATCCAACTTTCCCGTTGACGATGACATCGTGATGAGGGCCATTAATGGATTATTAGTTAAAACCGCGAGCAAATCGCAACAGGACAAAACCATTATCATGAAATAACATTATTTCTTTCGAAGTTGTACAGACCTCCAGAAACTGAGTATGACCAAAGAATTTAAACATATTCCTGAGAAAAAGAAGAATACGTTCACAGCAAATATGAATATGAGATTGATAAAATAATAAGATTCCATCCTCGAGCGACTTCTTTTGAAGAATTAAACATAAAACAAAAAGCGTTGCGTTTGGGTATGGCATCTGAATTTCAAGTGCTCAAGTGCATAAATGACATATACAAGTAAACTATATATATTTTAGGTCAGGGGGCGGATAATTGATGAGGTATGGACTAATAGCGGCTGCTTAAAGCGCCATTTGTAATCATAAAATGGTAATATGAGGAAGACATAGGATGCTTCTGTGTTTGGATGCATTTGAAAATATTTCTTATTTTGTAAGTACATGCAAGCTCATGGAAATTTGTTTGTTAAAAATACCGCATGAACGGCAGTGTTATAAGATACACAAACACGAGCCACAGGCGAGTGCCTGTTACATACAACAGAGAACGCGTCATCATACTGATTTAGAAATGATAGAGCTGTCTATGCAATATAAAAATAGTTTAGTTTAGGTTTCCTCTTGTAGTAACACTAGATCAATATAAGAGATGACCCTTATTGGACCTCTAGGGAAAACAAATTCCTGAGAAAAAGAAGAATATGAATATCAGATTGAGAAAATAATAAGATTCCATCCTCGAGCGACTTCTTGTCAAGAATAACTACATTGAAATAACACGTACCGTGTGCCTTAAACTTCCGATACATACACGAGCAATATTTTTGAAGAGTATTATTGCGTTGGTCACGCCTGTATTTAATTTATGGCAATGACACAGTTAAGCGCCAGGCAAACGAGAATGAAAGTTGATGAGACATACAGAAGGAACATGAAAAACAAGGAACCAGAAGCAGTCGATTCTGCCTCCTTTTCAGAATTTACTCTTCCTGATAATGTTGATGAACTGAGCCCTTGTATTTTAAGATATTTTGGGACGACGCAATTACTCAAAATATTGTTGAACAACAGATATACAACACAGAACGAGTTCGTCGTACCGATTTAGAACTGATTGAGCTATCCAAGCAATATAAATAAAGTTAATTTAGGTTTCCTCCCGTAGTAATCGTGAATCAATATAAGAGGTGACCCTTGCTGGACGTCTAGGGAAAACAGTTTAAAACTGAAGTTTATTTCTTTTAATAAATATAGGTTTAGCCTGGTTCTTAGCCTCATCTTATAAGTGTTTAACTTTTTATATACTACGACATATATAAGACCTTTTTATATACTACGGCAAACTAAATTGAAAATACTTTTGACATTGTACGTTTTAATATCCAAGCATTAATATGTCCACTGTCATTTTGACTTTTCAAACTTCACAGACCTTCTACATGAAGTATTATTCTGATAAATGTCGACAGACCAAACTATTAATATCTTCATTAGTGATTGGGGGGGGGGGGTGGCTTCTGTAATCGTGGGGGCGCAGCCTCCCCCAAATGTGGGGGTCGGCGGGAGATGGAATGGTCTCCAGGAAAAGTTTTCGGATTTTCATGCATTTTAGATAAGTTTTATAATATTCTGAAAGTCACAGATTCGGTGTATTTTATTATCAATTATTATAATTAGGACGAATTATTATAATACCTAATACCCAATACGCAAAATAACATGGCAAATTTTTTATACACCCTGTCCCTGTATATAATGAAAGAATTTAAAGAAATGGAAGCATTTTTATTTTTCTATACGTTTTATTCGACTATATTTTAGTCATCATCAGGAATGGATGAAATTACAAGCATAACAGTGTCTTATATAGGCTACCCTAGTTACAGCTACTGTCTTTCTTATAGTGATGATGATATGCGTATTAATATATAGAACAATATATGTATTAGATAAAACATGAGCAGCCGATCTGTATATCAGATACAGATCGGATGCGAATGTTTTATTGTACTTAATTAAAAAAATGACTTGTCTTATGAGTTCATTGGTGAAATAATTTTAAAAATAAACATTGTTTAAAGACGGATTTCCAGTCCTCGCACGAAGCTCCTCGCAGCTCGCTGTGAGTGCTTGCTATAGTGTTTCTGTTTGAGTTATTTTGTATTATATTATGACCATAGTTGATATTAAGGGACCGATATGGATTTAGAGGATATAGGGGACAAAAGGGGGTAGAGAAAGAAACCTCGTGGAAAAAAGGACGCATGTGTAAAGAATAGATTTTGGTGTGTGTATTTTAGACTAAATAGTAAAATAGAATATTATAATTGGCGACGAGGTAACGGAGTTATTAAACGCGTGTTAAAATGGCGAAAGTACTCGATCTACCAAAACTACAACCTTTTACCTTGGGGGAAACTTCGACCATTAGCCAACGGTGGCGAAAATGGATCAAGTCATTCGAATATTATATCGCTGCCTCGGGAATCAACAACAAGAAACAACAACGTGCCATCCTTCTCCACCTCGCAGGACCTGAAGTTCAAGACATTTTTGAAACCCTAGAAGACACTGGCAACGATCTCGACACCGCAATAGCAAAGTTAACGTCCTACTTCGAGCCACAAAAGAACATTCCTTTCGAGCATCACAATTTTCGACAGACAACACAACTACAAGGAGAAACAATCGAACAGTTAGCTATCCGTTTAAAACACAAAGTAAAATTCTGCGAATATGGCAACCCCAACGATATGATCCGTGACCAGATTATCGAACATTGTTCGTCTAGTCGTTTGAGGCGACGATTACTTCGCGAACCAGAACTTACTCTTGAGAAAACAGTCGAAATCGGTCGTTCGTTCGAAGCATCCGAACGGCAAGCCTCGCAAATAGAAGCAGACAGCTTAAAAACCACCGACCTGGGCGTAAATGCAATCCGTTCTAAAGCTGCATCATCTCGTTATCCAACATCGATACAAACAGGTCGTTCGAATATCGTTTGATATTGTTGTGGAAATGCCGGTCACCGAGCTAAAGACCCTCGTTGTCCTGCCGAAGGAATGTCCTGCAATAAGTGTCACAAGCTTGGCCATTTCGCTAGAGTATGTCGTCAACTGAAACCGACAAACAAGCCTGAATTTCAGAATCCTACATCGAAAAACAAGAATGAAATCTACAAGCAAAATACCGGAAGTCATGGCGAAATACGGTATGTATACGGCGCTCCACATCCGGCCACCGGGGAAAGTTCATCGGACGATGAGTATGTTTTCGAACTTGGTGCCACCGGGAAAATGCCCCATGCAACCGTCCAAATTGGGAACTTCCCAGTTGATCTCATCGTTGATTCAGGCGCAACTGTTAATGTACTTGACAATGAAACATTTGCAAAAATTAAGGCAAACAGCCCGATCACACTGTCCAAAACAAATCTCAAATTATTTAATTTCCATATGGATCATCAACATCACTGAGTATTCAAGGTTCGTTTACTGCACAGGTCTCCCATAAAGATTTAATTACGAATGCCATTTTCATCGTTGTTGCGAATCAAAATTCTGGTTCACTCTTGGGGCACAAAACTGCAACTGATCTTGGGTTATTTCAAGAACATGAGAACTTCCATCCAATTCAGAACATATGTAATGGAGACAACCTGTTCATGCAAACACTTGTTACCAAGTATCCGCAAGTTTTCAACGGCATCGGAAAACTCAAAGATTTGCAACTGCACCTACATTTTGATGAGTCGGTACCTCCAGTTGCCCAAGCACCACGTAGAATTCCTTTCCACATTCGCAAGGCCGTCCAGACAAACCTCGATGAACTCGAAACACTTGGCATCATCGAACCAGTGAAGGGGCCTAGCCCCTGGGTCTCACCTCTTGTGGCAGTACCAAAGCCTAATGGCGACATTCGTGTCTGCGTCGACATGCGTCAAGCAAATTCTGCAATAATCTGTGAACGCCACCCTATCCCTACTATCGAAGAAACCCTCCAAGAGTTGCAAGGAGCCACAGTGTTCTCTAAACTAGATTTACGATCCGGCTACCACCAAATTGAACTGCACCCTGAATCTCGACCAATTACCACCTTTGCAATCCAAAAGGGCTTATACCAGTATACGCGACTGATGTTTGGTGTCTCCTCAGCACCCGAAGTTTACCAACACATTATTCAACAGATCTTACAAGGTCTTCCTGGTGTGCGAAACATATCCGACGACATCATTGTTTTCGGTAAAACCAAAGATGAACACGATCAAAACCTTAACAATGTCATCCAACGTCTACAAGAATCGGGTCTCACCCTGAACAAGGATAAGTGCCTTTTTGGTGTTAGCAACCTCACATTTTTCGGTCACGAAGTGTCAGCATCTGGGGTCAGTCCCGACACTAAGAAAGTTGAAGCTATCCGTGAAGCAAGAGTACCCACCAATGCAGCCGAAGTACGCAGTTTTTTGGGACTTGCCACCTACTGCTCGCGTTTCATCCCGAATTTTGCAACTGTTGCCGACCCTCTCCGTCTCCTTACTCGGAAAAGCACTCCGTGGCAATGGAATTCCATCCACCAAAACGCGTTCGACACCCTGAAGAATCTTCTTACTGGCAATACGGTTATGGCCCACTACGATCCCTCGGCTCCAACTCACCTCCGTGTTGATGCCAGCCCTGTAGGGCTCGGAGCCATGCTGACCCAAACCCAACATGGAATAACTAAGCCTATTGCCTATGCCAGTCGCACCCTATCAAATGTTGAACGTCGCTGTTCCCAAACTGAAAAAGAAGCTCTCGCTGTAGTTTGGGGATGCGAGAAATTCCACCTATATCTGTATGGCACCGAGTTCACAATATATACCGACCACAAACCATTAGAAATCATATACAACCCCAAACGCAAACCCCCCGCTCGAATTGAACGCTGGGCCCTCAGATTACAACCATATCATTTCAAGATCCAGTATATTCCTGGTGCCGAGAACCCTGCTGATGTTCTATCCCGGTTACCACTCCCACACCAACCACATGTTGAACGGTCCATTGCCGACGAATATGTCAACTACATCGTTTCAAACAGCGTGCCAAAAGCCATGACACTAGAACAAATCGAGAAAGCATCCCTCGCCGATCCTATACTGCAACGCATCCATACCTGCATGACATCCGGAACATGGCCAAAAGAACCAGATCTCAGACCATACATGCAAGTTAACAGCGAACTGTGTGTCCAAAATGGCATCATCCTTCGTGGAACACGAATCGTCATTCCGTTTGACTTACAGAAACCTACATTAGAGCTCGCCCATCAAGGTCATCAGGGCATCGTGAAAACGAAGCAACTTCTCCGCCAAAAAGTTTGGTGGCCAGGAATAGACAAAGATGTTGATAAAATGATCAGTCAATGCCTTCCCTGCCAGGCTCAAGGGCCAAAAACCAATCCCGAACCTCTCCACATGTCGACGATGCCAACTGAACCCTGGCATACCCTCCATATTGACCTTTGTGGTCCTTTTCCCACCGGCGAATCACTCCTAGTCTTAGTTGATGCATGTTCTCGTTGGCCCGCGGTCGAAATATTGAGTTCTACTACAGCCACTACCATTATCAATCGTTTAGAGAACATATTTTCCCAGTTTGGTTACCCTGAAGAAATGGTATCAGACAACGGCCCTCAGTTTACTTCCCACGAGTTCAAATCATTCCTACACAGTTGTGGTATTAAACACCGCCTTATTACACCATACTGGCCTGCTGCGAATGCCACTGTTGAACGATTCAACAAAACGTTAGGAAAAGCTGTCAAAGCTGCTCACGCGGAAGGTCGCAATTGGAAACAAGAACTACCCAAATTTTTTATGATGTATAGAGCAACACCTCATATATCTACTGGCATCTCTCCCGCCGAGCTGTTTTTTGGTCGCAGAATTAAAACAAAATTGCCTCATATCCGTGTAGACCAGCCAAGTCCGACCCTAGAAGCTGCTTGTGAACATGATCACAACCACAAACAACGCACAAAAGAATATGCTGACAAGACCCAACATGCCATCTCGTCTACGATAAAGGAGGGAGATGTCGTGCTGTTAAAAGAACTAAAGAAAAACAAACTGTCCTCCTCGTATGATCCACAACCATATACTATAATCAAGAAGAAAGGACCAAGCGTATTCTTAAAACGTGGAGACGAACCGTGCATCATGCGAAATGTTTCGTTTGTCAGGAAATTGCCGACACCGAACGAGAAAAGATCAGATCAAAAACGTTGCACTTCTCGAACAGGTGGACAACATCAAACCAAGCCAACGGAGAGACGGCCTGTACGTGCACACAAGCTACCAGCACGGTTGAAAGACTTTGTCTTGGATTAAAACATTTCAGGATCAACAATGAACGCTTAAATATTGTTTGATACTAACATTTAAAAGGGGGGAGGGATATAGTGTTTCTGTTTGAGTTATTTTGTATTATATTATGGCCATAGTTGATATTAAGGGACCGATATGGATTTAGAGGATATAGGGGACAAAAGGGGGTAGAGAAAGAAAACCTCGTGGAAAAAGGACGCTTGTGTATAGAATAGATTTTGGTGTGTGTATTTTAGACTAAATAGGAAAATAGAATATTATACCGCTACTCAACAGGATTGAACAATGTTTTGCTGCCCACGTTGTTCACACTTGTCAACAATATTGAACAATATTGTTGAGCCTGAATCGGGTGTAACAATATTGTTCAATATTGTTGACAACTGTGAACAATGTGGGCAGCAAAACATTGTTCAATCCTGTTTTCATCAGTATTGCAACAACCTGAGCGTTTTTTGCCGTGTACACGGCAAAAAACGCCGAGCCCGTTGCTCAACAGGACTGAACAATGTTTTGCTGCCCACGTTGTTCGTAGCTGTCAACAATATTGAACAATATTGTTGAGCCTGAATCGGGTGTAACAATATTGTTCAATATTGTTGACAGCTATAAACAATGTGGGCAGCAAAACATTGTTCAATCCTGTTTTCATCAGTATTGCATCAACCTGTGCGTTTTTACGCGTGTACACGCGTAAAAATTGAGAAAATCAACAACTTGTTGCAAGTTGATATCGACAGGCGTGAACAAGGTTGTGCGGCCCACTGTGAACAGTATTGTCAACATGTTGTTACAGCATTGTTCAGCTGTAACAACTTGGCCAACATGGTTGACAACTTGTTCATAGTTGGCCGCACAACATTGTTCATGCCTGCCGATATCAACTTGCATCAACCAGAGCGTTTTTTGCCGTGTAATATATATCCCCAAGGTTGGCAACAAAATACAAATTTAAAACTGTATACATAAACTTAATGAGGAAAAAACTCGTACATAAACATCGAAATTCATTTAAAAAACTAACTTACTATGGTAAGACATAACTGTAATACTTCTATATTGTGTTCTTTTTGTTCTCTCATCACTTTAAAACGAGTTAATTTGCGAAAATTCCGTGGAAAATGGCTCAATTTGGTGAAAACTATGCGGGATGACTGCTCCCGGCGTTACGTCACAAAATAAAGCTCACTGATTCGCTGAGAAATTTCAGCCTGCCAACAGAGTTTTTTTGAAATTTAAAAAAATTTCCAGCAAATCAGAGAGCTTTATTTTGTGACGTAACACCGGGAGCAGTCATCCCACATCCAAATTGAGCCATTTTCCTCGGAATTTTCGCAAAATTAACTCGTTTTAAAGTGATGAGAGAACAAAAAAACACAATATAGAAGTATTAAGCTACGTTTGCACGCTGCGATTTGTCGGGCTGATTTTGGTAAATAATAGTAGTATAGGAACTGAGGGTTCTAGACCACTTTTTCGGCCCGCGATCCCACCCCACTTCCGGTCAGCGGTTTCCCAAATTTTCCCCAAAGAACGCGGGCTCATTTTTCTAGACCCCATTTTTCTAGGCCATTTTTTCCGTGGTCTTTTTACCTCATTTTTTTATCTATTATTTTAATCTTTATTATCATATTTAAT